GTGTTATATTAAATTATATTATTATAGTGAGAGTGTGCTAGATAGAAGGTAGGAAGGACATTTGAAACAAAACAGCATGTGCAAAGGCGCAAAGGAGTGATATGTTTGGAAAATGTCAGCAGTGAATTGTGAAAACTAATGGCAGATGTGGCCAGAAAGATAAGTTGAGGCCAGATCATGAAGAGCTTTGAAGGCTATTCTGTCGGCAATGGGAAACCAATGAAGAGTTTTAAAGTAAAATTACATGAAAAGGTCTGTGTTTTTGAAAGCTAACTGCTGGCTGTCTGAGGGATGGGTTGGAGAAGGAAGAAATTCAAGGCAGTCAGATCTTAGGGAGGTTACTGTAATAGTACAACAGAAGATGGTGAAGTCCTGCCCCAAGACAATAGGAGAGAAAAAGGTCCAAGAGATATTTAGAAGATAGAATTAATAGGATTTGTTTCTGATCTAATACACAGAAGCAGTAAGTAAGCTTCACAAGGGCAGAGGTTTTAGTGTTTTGTTAACTGAGATTTCCTCCGCCTGGCACAGGAGGTCATTGTGTAAATGAGTGAACCAACAAAAGAATGAATTAATGAATATAAAAGTGAATCAAACCCCTTCCGCCCTCCCTCTGTAACTACTCTGAAAGGACTTGATTCCAGGAGGCTGAACCAGGCAAATTTAAGATTTGAAATGTAAGTTTCTTGAGAGAAGGTACTATATCTGTTTTTCTCATCTCTATGTTCTCAACTCTTAGTTTGGCACATGGGTAGGCACCCATTAAATATTTAAGTCAATGAGTAATTCTTTCCTATTCAAATTTGTTTATGTATTTCAATTTTGTAGCTTTATCAGTAGGTGGCGCTAAGAAACCATTTTCCTCCCTACAAAAAAAGATTTAGCTTGGGAGACTTTTTTAAATTTTTTTAACTGATTGTGAAATAGTACAGCATTCTTTTCAGGCTACTGATTTAACTCTGTTAATGGATAAATTAAAATTTAGAAAGCACTGCTCCTCTGAATGAGTATTCAAAGTAAAAAATGACTGTCTCTTATTATATCCTCTAAAGAAGCAATTTAATTGGATTCAGTGAATATTTGTTACATGAATGAAACACCGTATCTCATTAATATACTTCTTTAATCTTTACTTGATATGCATGTATATGCCAATATGTATCAGCACTTTCTCAAAATGTTTCAAAAAATATTGCTGGGTGCCGTGGCTCACACCTGTAATCCCAGCACTTTGGGAGGCCAAGGTGGGAGGATCACTTGAGGCCAGGAGTTTGGGACCAGCCTGGGCAACATAGTGAAACCCCATCTCTCAAAAAACAGGTGGCACACACCTGTAGTCCCAGCTAGTTAGGAGGCTGAGGCAGGAGGATCACTTGAGCCCAGGAGTTTGAGGTTACAGTGACCTATGATCACACCACTGTACTCTAGCCTAGGTGACACTGAGACCCTGTCTCTAAAAAACAAATATATGTATATATATGGTGTTTCAGACTTCATACTTCTTCCTAATAAAGCTTCTGCTTAATAAAATAAATAGATCCATTTCTAGCATAGACTTTGACACAGTAGAACACATATGATATAGACTAGTTAAGCTGAAGACGTAGAAAAACATCTGACAAAATAGATTTAGCTAAATAAAAAAAAGTCTAAACTCGCCATATCTTTCATTTTTTTCTACCATCTATCCAGTTGAGTACTATTCCAGATCTAGGTATCCTACTCACTGCTACTGTCACTGCTTTGGTTCAGCACATAATAAGGTCAAAACTTGTTAGCATCCCTGGTATTAAATACCCAGCCGGGCACGGTGGCTCATGCCTGTTATCCTAGCACTCTGGGAGGCCAAGGCAGGAGGACTGCTTGAGTCTAGTAGTTTGAGACCAGCCTGAGCAAGAGCAAGACCCTATCTCAACAAAAAATAGAAAAATTAGCCAGGTGCGGTGGTGTACTCTTGTAGTCCCAGCTACTTGGGAGGCTGAGGCAGGAGGATCACTTGAGCCCAGGAGTCTGAAGTTGCAGTGAGCTGTGATGGCACCACTGTACTCTAGCCCAGGTGACAGAGTGAGACCTTGTCTGGAAAAAAAAAAAAATAGCCTAGTTATCATCCTTTTTTTCCTTTATTTTGCTGCCATTTAGAACTTTTCTGTGTTCCCCAAGGACTCTATGATGTTTCAAATACTGTTTCTTTTGCCTAAAATGCTGCTCCCTATTATTTTTTTCTCTACCATTTTATATCCATTGGATTTATGCTTATATTTCAAACTCAAGTGTTACTTCTTTGAAGTCTTAAATTTCTCAAAGTGTTTCATTTTTCTGTGGCCTGATAACATTCTCTTCATACCTCTGTTGCATTTATCAGGTTGCCTTGTAGTTATCTTTTTCTTCCAGTGAACTATGAACACTTAGAGAGTAGGGATCATGTTGTGCTCATCTTTGTATTTCTCTGGTTTAGACCTAGCTTCCATAGATACTCAATAATTGATTGTTTGATGAGTAAATTAATCACAAAAGTAGAGGCATCCGTTAACTTGCTTCATGTGTTTTCTAAATTTAGTGTATATCACATTTTCATATAGGATATAAACAATGAGTTTTAAGGAACTTTTTAGATATACTTTTTTTTTTCCTGAAATAGATTCTGACATCAAAGTACTTGAAGATCAGTTTGATGAAATCATAGTAGATATAGCCACAAAACGTAAGCAGTATCCCAGAAAGATCCTGGAATGTGTCATCAAAACCATAAAAGCAAAACAAGAAATTCTGGTAAGACGATTTGCCTTTAAAATGTTATGTATATTTTACCACAGTAAAAAAAGTTAAAGTATAAGATCCACGTGGAGATACATGACATTTTGTTGTCTTTTCCTTTCCTGCCGCAGTTAATATTGTCTCTTATAAGACTTTTTCCTGTTTTAGTCATACTAGTTTTGAATATAGCTGATATTAAAATTCAAATTGGAGATGGAAGACTGACAATGACATTATGATTCTGAGACCAGGATGGAAAAGGAAATTTATGTTTTAACCCTTTTCTTCCTATTTGTCATCTGTGTTTGACACATTATTTGTACATATTAGTATGTTTTGAAAGATCTTTTAGTTAAACTGATGATGAAGATGGTTTGAATACCTGTTCATAATACTGAAATTTGCTTTATTAATTGTGTGTAATTTGTTTTGCTCTAAAAATCATGACCATTTGGGTTGCAAGACCAGGAAGTCAGCTCCTTCAGCCTGAGCTTTTTAGATAGGTGCAGCCATAGACTTGCTTCTTACTTATAATTACTGTAGATATCAGTGACCAACCATATCACACTCCCAACTTGTCAGATTTTTAGGACTGGAATAAATAGAAAACAAAGATGAAGTCCACAAGACCTAATCTTCCTTTGGGTGGGGTAGGGAGGAGGTTTGCTAGTAATGGCATTGCCCCTCCAGTGAGGTACAGCCTTTAGTGCGGTGGTGGTGGGGCCAAGCCACTTTTTAGAATGGGGTTTTTGTGGAAATATGAATTTTTGTTGTTGTTGAGACAGGGTCTCGCTCTGTCACCCAGGCTAGATGCAGTGGTGTCATCATAGCTCACTGCAACCTCAGACTCCTGGGCTCAAGCGATCCTCCTACCTCAGCCTCCCAACTAGCTGGGACTACAGGTGCAGGTTACCACACCTGGCTAATCTTTCTATTTTTTTTGTTGAGATGGGATCTCGCTCTTGCTGAGGCTGAAATGTGAATTTTGAGTTCCAAACACTTGTCCTAAATAAACGTTTGAAACACAGTCCATTCAAAATTTGGAGACTGCCATGCACTTTAAACACAAGCATTCAGTCTTTGCACTTTTAATTTGCTTGATGCTTTTTCTGATTATACCTTTTTATAATGCTGTTCCTTAGTATATGCGGTAGGTGGCAGTACTGTAAAGGGTATAGTTCAGACTTAGTTTGGTCTTATCTTTTTTCCCCTCGCTTCCCTATAGATTTTAGGATCTAATTATTTTTCCCCCAAAAGAATGATACTACTGACAGTATAGTATATTTGCCTACATTCGCTGAAGAAAATGTTTATATGAGGCATTAAGTGATTAAATTAAATCTGTTTAATTTGTGTTCTGTTTAGAAGCAATACAATCCTATCGTACATCCATTGGACCTGAAATATGATCCTGATCCAGGTGAGTCAGTATTCATTTATGGTAAAAATGAAGCATCAGTGTGTAATTTTCATGAGTT